CCCAGGCTCAGGTGATTCTCCTACCTCAGCCTCCCGACTAGCTGGGATTACAGGTGTGCGCCACTACAACTGGTTAATTTTTTATTTTTTGTAGAGCTGGAGTTTTGCCATTTTGCTCAGGTTGGTCTAGAACTCCTGGGCTCAAGCAATCCTCCCTCCTCAGCCTCCCAAAGTGTTGGGATTGCAGGTGTGAGCCACTATGCCTAGTCTCTTTATGAATTTTTATAGCAGTTTCACTATTTTCAAAGTGCTTTCACCTTCATTATCATATTTTGAGGCATATATTGTCTCCATTTCACACATGAAGAAACCAGAGAGGTTGTTTTGCCAAGTATCACACAGCTAAGGCTGAGCTGGTACTAGAATACAAGTAAGGAGAACTGGACGGTTTAAAAACAGGTCTGAGATACCTTCCTCCTCTATCCTCTTCGCTCCCCCACTCCTTTTCCCCAATATTCTTCCCCAGTCTCTAGAAGTCATTCTATTGAACATCCTGATGGATGTGTAATCCATTTGATCTTAGCCATGCCCCTGAGATCTGAAGCAGGCCCCTGTGTTGTTTCAGTCATCCATCAACTGCTCCTGGGAAGAAGCTCTTTCCTCCAACAGCTGGACCCATGTCTAGTTGCTGGCTTTGGAGGATGCTAACTTGGGTCCTGAGTGCTGGTTCTGGTGTGCAGTGTGCCAGGCACTCATCAAGCCCTCTAGTCAGCACTAGGGGTGGCCTGGTCCAGTGGGAAGGACCCTACCTGTGCAGACAGAAGACTGGGTTTGAGTCCCTGCTCCACCATTTTTTGTGCGGTGAATTTGGTCAGGTCAGAACTTCTCTGAGCATCAGCCAGAGACGTGGATTTGAGCCCACCACATCCTTGGAGAGCGTTCTTAACTTCTCTAGGCCATTTCTTTCTCTATAAAATGAATAAGCCCTGATTCTTAGGTTTGAGCTGAGAATGATGTGGGATTAGGTGTATTAAGTCCCTAGCATGGAATGAGCACTCCATGAGTAAAATGCAGTTATACCGTGGTTTGACCGGGTCAGTGAGCACCATGAAAATTCAGAGGTATGTGAAAACTCTGAGAGGTCTGATGACATTGTTTCATTGTTTCCCGTTGACCCAAGCAGCCCTCAGTCCTTTTTGCCCCCTGCATGGGTTAGGGATGGTCCATTTCCAGCCTGGGCTCATACCTTCTGAGACTTAAGGATAAGAAGGCTATCTCACAGCAGGATGATCAGGCCAGTTTTCTGGACAACTTTATAGGTTAGGTCCAAAGTTCAGATAGTTCTCTGGGTCTCTGGGAGCCCTGGGCTGAAAGAACAAAACTGTGTCTTGCTTTAAGAGTCTCTGTCTGGCCAGGTGCAGTGACTTATGCCTGTAATCCCAATACTTTGGGAGGCAGGAGGCTGGCTTGACCCCAGTAGTTTGAGACCAGCCTGTGCAACATGTTGAGACCCTGTCTCAATCAAAAAAAAAGTCTCTGTCCTCTACTTTATTTTCACTGAGCCCTGGTGAAGCTGTAGGAAGTCCATACTGCTGTCACCCTGTTTTACAGATGGAGAACCTAAGACCAGAGGTGCAGGAGCTTCTTACTGAGTTTAACGCAGTCTTGCAGAATGGATATCCTAGTATCCTGGACCTGAGTTTGAGTCCTGGCTCAGCCACTGATTTGTTGTGATGATGGCAAGCTGCTACTCCTGCTGAAGCTCAGGGATGCCATCTAATGAGCAAAACTATGCAGGAGGCATAGCCTGAATTTTTTTTTTTTTTTTTCCTGCCAGGGGGAAGGATCTGAAAGAACAGCATGATCAGAAAATGTGTGAGAGGGAGATGCAGCGAATCACTCTGCCCTTGTCTGCCTTCACCAACCCTACCTGTGAGATTGTGGATGAGAAGACTGTCGTGGTCCACACCAGCCAGACTCCAGTTGACCCTCAGGAGGGCAGCACTCCCCTTATGGGCCAGGCTGGGACTCCTGGGGCCTGAGTCCCCTCAGTGGGCAGGAGCCCATGCAGACACTGGTGCAGGACAGCCCACCCTCCTACAGCTGGGAGGATCTACCACTTTGTGTTCTGGTTAAAACCCTACCATTCCCCCCCCCTTTTTTGGTGAATCCTAATAAGTGACAGAAGCAGATGGCACTGTGGGCTGAGGGTAAGGCTGGGCAGGGTCCTAACAGTGCTCCTTCTCCATCCCTTGGAGCAGATTTTGTCTGTGGATGGAGACAGTGGCAGCTCCCACAGTGATGCTGCTGCTAAGGGCTTCCAAACATTGCCTGCACCCCTGGAGCTGAACCAGGGATAGATGGGGAGTTCCCCCAGGCTCCTCTGTGCTTTACTAAGATGGCCTCAGTCTCCATCATGGGCTTGAGTGGCATACACTGTTATTCATGGTTAAGGTAAAGCAGGTCAAGGGATGGGATCGAAAAAATGTTTAGTTTTTAAAATATTTGGGATGGAACTCCCTACTGACCTCTGAGAACCAGAAGTGAGTCTGTACAGAAGTCAGAAATTTTGGGTTCAGAATGAGATCTAGGTTGTGGCTGCTGGTATGCTCCAGCTTGCTAGCAATGATGTGCCTTGACAACTATGGGCCAGGTCTGGGCCCAGGGACTCTTCCTGTTTCACAAGGAAAGGAAGGGAAGAATTGCACTGAGCATTCCACTTAGGAAGAGGATAGGGAAGGATCTGCTCCGCCTTTGGCCACAGGAGCAGCTTTGGCCACAGGAGCAGAGGCAGACCTGGGATGCCTGTTCCTCTTCAGGGAAGGGTAGTGACCTGTCTTCATTTTGCACAGGTAAAAGAGTAGTTAGCTAACCTATGGGAATTATACTATGGGGCCTTATGAGCTGCTTCTAAGAGGTTAACCTGGAAACTAAGCTCAGAGGCAAGATAATAAAGCACTTTAGAGCTTGCTCCTGAGGTGGGCCTGATTTAGCAGGTGGTCCTGTGGGCCTCCAGGCCAGCACCTTCCTGTAGGGCAGTGGGGCTAGGGTCACAGCCCCTAACTTATAAAACAATCAAAGAATCATTAGAAAGGGTTCATTAAACCTTTTGGACACAGGGCCTCAGAGAGGAAAAAGTGACTTGCCCAAGGTCATAAGCAAGCTACTGGCATGGCGAGAGCCCAGCTTCCTGACTGAGTGCAACATTTCTCCACTGCACTGTGGTGGCGGCTCAGCAGGGCCTCTAAGCCCTGATGTCACACTCGAAGGCCTGGCAGCCCCTAGCCATAGAGCTTCCTTTCCAGAGCCCTTCCACTGCCCAATGTGGAGATGGGGGTTAGTGGGGCTTTCTATGGAGCCATCTGCTTTGGGGACCTAGACCTCAGGGGGTCTCTTGGTGTTAGTGATGCTGGAGAAGAGAATATTACTGGTTTCTACTTTTCTATAAAGGCATTTCTCTATATACATGTTTTATATACCTCATTCTGACACCTGCATTTAGTGTGGGAAATTGCTCTGCATTTGACGTAATAAAAAAAAAAAAAAAAGACTCTACATTGCCAAATTTTTGAGAGGTAATAGGAACATTCCCTATAAGTTGAGAAGCTTTGTGTTACCTTGTTAACACCTGTGTGGCAAGCTCTGGGCCTTTTCTTCATTCATCCTGGCCCTGTTACTAGAAGGTGACAACTGCAGCCTGTGTCCAGATTTTTTTTTTTTTTTTTTGAGATGGAGTTTGGCCCTTGTTGCTCAGGCTGGAGTGCAATGGCGCGATCTCAGCTCACTGCAACCTCCGCCTCCTGGGTTCAAGCGACTGTCCTGCCTCAGCCTCTGGAGTAGCTGGGATTACAGGTATGTGCCACCATACCCAGCTAATTTTTGTATTTTTAGTAGAGATGGGATTTCACCATGTTGGTCAGGCTGTTCTCATTTGATCTCAGGTGATCCACCAGCTGAGGCCTCCCAAAGTGCTGAGATTACAGGCTTGAGCCACCGTGCCCGGCTTCTGTGTCCAGATTATTATCATCAGGAGTCTTCCAGGTTAAAGCTGCAGGAAGGACAGGTGTGCAGGCCTCCCAATAAGGTGGCTGGTCATTACAAATCCTCTCCCCTTCAGCATTGTTTCCAAGGTGGAGGTAGCGAAAATGAATATCTAGACAGCCTTTGTCAAAGTCTGGAACACAGCAGGGGTTGAGGGGTGGGTGACGGGGATGGTGCTGCAGCAGCCAAAGGGGGAATAACCGCAGAGGAGGAAGGGTCACTGGGCTGCCTGCAGCAGCCCTGGGCTGAGGAAGTTCCCTGCAAGGTGACTACTATGGCTACAGAAGGAAAGATACCAACAGGTGTGTCTCCTGGACTTTTAGCAAGGGATTTCAGCCACAGGTTCTCAGCCTCAGGAATACCCAGATGAACTCTGTCCATGCCCAGCCATTGCTCTGTGGTTCTGCCAGCAATGCGTACTCCAGATCATTAGTTTTTTTTTGGGAACCAGATTCTGTCCTTAAGTTGGATTCTTCAAACTTTGAGAGTGCCTGGGAGAAATCACCTTTGGGTTTACAGATTTATATTGTGCCCAAGGCCCCACTAACCAGATAGCACTGTCCTTCCCAGTGGTCACTCCACAACATCCCCCATGTGCGGAAGCAACAAGAAACAGGTCTCCTCTCAAGCACTTGTAGGGAAACACAAGGGGTGGGGTGACTTGCATTCATTTCTTCCCATGACAAAGGTGGCACCTAGCACTGAGGAAAGCAAGCCAGGATACCCAGGCTATAGAAGTATTCATATAAAGAGGATGAAAGGGTAGGGCCCCTAAGGAATGACTCAGCTGGCATGTGAGACCCAAGCCAGGAGAAGGTCATAGTCACACTTGCTGCAAGGAAGGGGCTGCCTCAGGTGGGATGTACATATTCTCTAGAGCAGATGGGTGTCTACTTGAGGGTTTTAGACTTGGGTGCATGAAAACTCTCTATGGGGAGTTTGTGTGGGCTAGGCCAGAAGGTGGCTAGCAGACCCTCTACATTTACGTCCCTGAGCCAGTCATATTTTCACTTTCCATATTGCCAGTTATGTTAACTGCTTTAACTGCTTAATTTATTTAGTTTGATCAATGGCCCCGTTCAGGCCCACCACTCCTACACTTGCTGGGGACAGCCGGGAAACAACCAGCCACACAATGCTGAACTGTGCTGCTGCTGGGAGTTCAGGGCTCAGCCCTACAACAAGCTTGCAAACTTCACACAGAAGTACAGTCTATATATCAAGTAAACTCTGACCAGAGATGACATCTGGTCCCACAACTCCTCAGGTCTATGTACAATATTTCACATACCACCCAATAGATATAACAAGAAGATAATATTAACAGCAACCACTCCTTTATCAATTCCCCCTGCTCCAATACAACCACCACACATTGCATTAATACACCAAACCCTTTCCCAATTTATTAAATATGGTGCAAGCTCACAGACACTTAGAAGAGGCAAATCTAGTTGTGATGAAGAGTTCCTAGAGCTCTGGGAGCCAAGATGGAGGTTTTCTAGTACCTGCAGATGTGGCTCAGGAGGATGCTGCCCAGGAGCTAATGAGCTGGGAGAGCAAACATGGGAGGTAGAAGTCAGATGGCCCAGCTCAGGGAGCTGTCTCTCTCAGCATCTCAGCTTTGGGACTCTGCCACCACCTCTTCCCAGCCCAAGCTGCTGCCTAAACCAGGCATGCTGAAGGATGAGCAATGGTTGCCATGAGGCCAAGACCAAGAGACTGCTGAGACTCCCACTCCCCTCCCTCAGACTCTAGGCCTGTGACAAGCCACTGTCCTCCAGAACCCATGTAGCTTTAGGCAAAATGTCTTAGGCATCTGACTAAGGAGCCCACCAGAGTATGAGTAACAGAAGCCAAGATCTGAGCTTTCTAGAGGGCAGGGCCTCTTTCTAGTCCCCTAGCCTCTTCCTGTGCTTGTGACTGTTGCAGACAGAAAGGATGTTGCCTGTTAAGTTCTCAGCCAGTTTCCAGTAGCAAGCTGAAAACATGAGGTGGAGGCTTCCCCTCACATTGATGTGGGCCCTGGGCTGGTTAGAGCCAGTAAGCAGGTAAACAGAAGTCAGCCCTTTCTCTAACTCCTGGCCTGTTTCACCATATATTAAGGGACTCTTCAAAACCTACTCCCTCAACCTTGCTCCAGGAAGGGCAGGATCTGGAGTGGAAAGGGGGAGCATCACTGTCTTTTTCACACCTTTTGAGTGCCTTCTGGCCACCAGTCTTTCGTCCACACACTTGAAGTCCTCCTGCACCCAGCTGGACTAGTGACTTCAGAGTTCACAGGCAGGTTCACCCTGGGATCCTGCCCAGCAGTCCAGGTCACGCCGATTAGTGTAAGCGACAGCCTCCCACAATCCACTGCCAGGGAGTTCCTGGGTGGATCTGAGTAACAGATTCCTCCTGGCCCAAAGGCCAGGCTTTTTTTTTTTCTTCTTCACAGCTTTCAGGCAAGTATTGGATTTACAGACAGTAACTAGGCCCCAGAACCTGTGGAGATACATTTCCCTGGTGCTGCGCTCACTTGCCTCCTGGGGAGGTAGTAGGAATGGCTTGTTCTGCTTCTAAACAGGCCGCCAATCCACAGGAAGCCCGGACGGCCCTGCTCACAGCAGGGATGGGGCGCAGAGGGGCAATGCTGGCTGTAGAACACCCCCCTGCAGGGGGCTGGGCCAGGGCTAGGGAGGTGAGTCCCGGGTCAGGCCGTACTGCATGCTCACAGTGTGGTCCAACTCCTCCAGCTCTGCAGGCAGCGGGATGCCCAGCTCCCCCAGGTATAGGGAGAGGGCCTCAAAGGAGTCCTCCAGTTTTGAGAATGCTGGTCTAGAAGGAAAAGAGGTAAATTAGAGGCAGGTGGAATATGAGCAGGGCCATGGGGTGGGTGGAAGGAATCTAGGCTCAGCTACTTCCTGGTTGTATGACCTCAGGTAAACTCCTTCATCTAGTAGTGCCTCTGTGAGAAATGGACATAATGTTACTGCTACCTCATATATCTGCTATAAAGTTTAGATAACACCATGAGAAGGCTGGCCTAGCTGGAGTTAGTACTTAAAAACAATAGGAGAAAAGGTCCCTCCCATGTCTTAGAGAAAATGCAGTCATCAAAGGTGGAACTGGAAACATCAGCCTCCTAGTGCCATGGAAATGGCTTGGCTGCCCCGGAAGCCTAAGACAGCTCAGGCTTACTCTTCCTCCTCCATGTTTATGCTTAAATGTCATGTAACCTCAGTGAGGCCTGCTCTGACTACCATATTTGAAATTGCAACTTGTACCCTAAACAATCCTCTTTACTTGGCTTGACTCTTTTTCCATAGCATTTGCCACATTCTAATATTCAATATAGTAGATACCATGCTACAATCTATGTTCTATGAGGATAGGCACCTTTATTTTGTTCACTGCTGTAACCCACGTGCTTAGAACAGTCCCTAGCACACAGTAGGCATTCAATACTATATATATATATATTTTAAATAAATTAAAGATATTTAGAATGACTGACAAGAGGTATTAGAAAACAAATACTGTGTAGCTTCACAGTTTCTCCTCAAGCTCTTACACTGGTGTTACTGAAGGATTGCAGTCCTTGGCCTATAAAGGAACAAGGTATAGATTCTCCCACCAGAAAATTTCAACTCTAATGTGGACTGCTGAAAATAATTTTTAAATAAAGATTATGTGCCAACTGGTTATCCTGGGAGGGTGGAGTTGGGGGTGAGGAGAATGTTGAGAGGTATATTGGTTAAGGGAGATTATAGAAGACATATTTCCTACGCTATAAACTTCGGTAATGTTTGAACTTGTTTTTAAAAGAAACTGATGGCAGGAAAAAAAACCCACAAAAGATTCTTTTTTTTTTTTTTTTGAGACAGAGTTTCACTCTTGTTGCCCAGGCTGGAGTGCTATGGCATGATATTGGCTCACTGCAACCTCCACCCCTGGGTTCGAGCAACTCTTCTGCCTCAGCTTCCTCAGCAGGCTGGCATTACAGGCGCCTGCCACCATGCCCGGCTGATTTTTGTATTTCTAGTAGAGATGGGGTTTCACCATGTTAGCCAGGCTGGTCTCAAACTCCAGACCTCAGGTGATCCATCAGCCTCGGCCTCCCAAAGTGCTGGGATTACAGGCATGAGCCACCGCTCCCAGCCAGATTCTAGTTTTTTAACCACAAACTTGAAAAAACCTAGGGTAACTTTGGTAATAATAAAATGATCACCTGAGAAGAATAAAGGTAATTTTGAAAATACTTCTTTAAAGGAGAAATTAGCAAAATGCATAAAACTGCTCACTGTAGTTAATACCTATTGTAAAGAGAAACTGGAAAAACCTGAACATCTACATTACAGTATGTTCAGATAGTCTCTCACTAGAATTTCATGTTGTTGACGAAAATGATAAACAGGAAGACTGCATAGTAACAAGGGAAATGCAGGACAAAATACAGAACTATTTACTATAGAAAAAAGTATATGTGTAGATATGGGCAGGGGAATATCGAAAGATGAATACACTTACCGTCTTCAGTTGGTTTGGGTGAATTTCCTTCTTTTTTCTTTTCTTTTTTTTTTTTAAAAGACAGAGTCTCGTTCTGTCGCCCAGGCTGGAGTGCAGTGGCACGATCTCGGTTCACTGCAACCTCCACCTCCCGGGTTCATGCCATTCTCCTGCCTCAGCCTCCCGAGTAGCTGGGACTACAGGCACCCGCCACCATGCCTGGCTAATTTTTTTTTTGTATTTTTAGTAGAGACGAGGTTTCACCATGTTAGCCAGGATGGTCTCGATCTCCTGACCTCATGATCTGCCCGCCTCAGCCTCCCAAAGTGCTGGGATTACAGGCGTGAGCCACCGCACCCGGCCATAAACTTTCTTTTAATGGCTGTGTGTCTGTGTCCTATCCAGCTTACTTGCTGCTATGACTACCTCTCTCTTCTCCAACCTGTACATATGAGTTGTCAGATGGCTAACGGTTGACAGCCACATTCTTGACCTGAAGGCTTCTCTCACCCCTGTGCTTATGAAGCACTCAGGGGTGGTCTTAGACGGAGACAAACATCCCAGGACCCTGCGATCTGGGAGAAAGAGGCAGGATACCAACCTGCTCTCAGGCTCCAGTCTGCAGCAGATGGCGGCCAGGGGGAAGAAGGCTGGGGGACAATCTGTGGGAACAAACTTCTCCCAGAAAAGCTTCACGTTGAGGCCAAAGTCCAGTGTTCGGGGAAGGCAGTCAGGATCTGCATACACTTGCCCAATGATCTGTAGGGTAAGAAGACAGCTGTTTACGAAGGACTACAGAGGTCACAGATACATGGCAAGGGAAAGGGATGCTGGGATGTGGACAGGAAGGATGGGCAGAAGAGGAGGTGATAAAACAGGTTAGAGAGCTCTTCTCAATCCCCAATCATCTCTCCAAATCTTATAATCCAGACCTGGATCCACTGAGAGTTGGGTTACTGAAGAGGACTGAGAAGGGGCTTCACTGCAGAAGCCAAGTGTTCCAAATCGGCATCTGGAAGCTAGCAACTTCCACTCCATCCCACGCTGCCTTGTCTGTGTCTCCTTATGGCTGTGTGTCTGCCAGAGTGAAGGCTCTCTGAGGTGCTGGATCTGATTCATGTCTGAAATCCTTTAGTACCAGCCTAGTGCTCTGTACACAGGTGTTCAATTAATATTAAAGAAAACAATTTTTTTAAAAAAAATCTTCCTTCACGGCCAGGTGCAGTGGCTCACGCCTGTAATCCCAGCACTTTGGGAGGCTGAGGTGGGTGGATCACCTAAGGTCAGGCATTTGAGACCAGCCTGGCCAACATGGCGAAACCCTGTCTCTACTAAAAATACAAAAATTAGCCGGGCACGGTGGCGCGCACCCGTAGTCCCAGGTACTTGGGAGGCTGAGGCAGGAGAATCACTTGAACCTGGGAGGCGGAGGTTGCAGTGAGCCAAGATCGCACCTCTGCACTCCAGTCTGGGCGACAGAGTGAGACTCCGTCTCAAAAACAAAAAACAAAGAAATTTTCCTTCATTATCCTAACCGTTCCTTGTCTCTCCTCTCCTCTACCCATCACAACTTTCTAGGAATTACAGTAAGGCTTTGAATGTGTGTGTGTTTGAGTCTTTGAGACATGCTGAGATAAGCTGTCACCTGACTAAACTCCTAAAGGTAGGAATCTTTCCACGATTCCTCACTCTGTCCACGTGGTACCTAGCACAGGGCTGGCACTTCCTAGAGTGGCTACTTCTACTTGAAGGGAACTGAGAAGGGCTACATTTGGCCCAAGAGTTAGCTAGACAGCCACATGAACAGTCTCTTGCCCTTCCTTCTGGAATTCTGAGTCTCACCTACCCCTTATTGACCATGTGTAAGCCACTGCCCTCTTCTGAGCCTCAGTTTCCTCAACTAAAAAAAAAAACAAAAAAAACACCTGGCCGGGCACAGTAGCTCACGCCTATAATTCCAGCCCTTTGAGCGGCCGAGGTGGGTGGATCACCTGAGGTCCGGAGTTAAGACCAGCCTGGCCAACATGGTGAAAACCTGTCTCTACTAAAAATACAAAAATTAGCCAGGCATGGTGGTGTGTGCCTGTAGTCCCAGCTACTTGGGAGGCTGAGGCAGGAGAATCACTTGAACCCAGAAGGCGGAGTTTGCAGTGAGCCCAGATTGTGCCACTGCACTCCAGCCTGGGCAACAAAGCAAGACTCCATCTAAAACAAAAAAACCCTGCCAGTCCTCCTCTTAGGACCAATGAAACACGAATGTGGCAAAGATGTGCAGATGCGTTATAAACCATAAAACCTTACACCCATGTTGATTTTAGTCAAGCTAGTCATCCCTAGGAGGAGAAGCCCCAGTTCTGAGGGAAGGCAGAGCTGCTAGGCGTGCTGCCTCAGGCATGGCCTTGGTGCCAGAGCTCACCTCACAGAGAACGATCCCAAAGGAGAAGATATCCACCGTCTCATCATAGCTCTTTCCTTGGGGAACACAGGAGAGCACGCTGTTAAGTTTATATCCCTTACCTGCTCTGCACTGGGTCTAGGGTCAATCTAAGCCACAGCTAAGAACTAGGGCTAGAACAGGTTCTGCAGGGACACCCCACAGGCTGTCCTGCACAGACATCACCTGAAAATAGTCCTTCCTCAGCCCTAGGTGACCTGCCTTGGAGAGCCCTTATAACATAACACTGCCTAGGATGAAACTGCATGTTAAAGTGGAAAAGAACCAGACTAGGATTCATCCAGGCTCTGCCATTAGCCAGCTGTGTGCTCCTAGGCAATTCACTGAATTTCTCTGGGCCTCAGACTCCAAAATGGATTATATTCAGACCATTTCTGAGGTCTCATAACCCTGATTTCAAGAATGCCAACCAGCATCTCTGGTTGGTTTGAGCATTATCCACCAGAGGGCACCACACTTCAGTTCTCACCACGGAAAGAGAATGCTAAAGCTGGGACAATAGCCTGAGCTCTCAGAAATCCCTGAGGCACAAATGCCACAGTCAGACCTCACCTTATCCCCAAGGATGGGACACTGATTAGTTCCCAGCCCCCTAAGCTCAGGGAGCTAATTCGTGAGGCCCCTCCTGGCAAGGGAAAAATATCCTTAGCTCTGGGTATCTGGTCCTACACTTCACAGGCCTCCCCTGGAGTTCCTAGGGCTCTGATGCAAGGGTGACATCTGTCCTCCCTCTGCAGGTGTCCCCTCCAGGGCTTCAGGACTCACCATTCAGCATCTCAGGGGCCATCCAGTAGGGGTTTCCCACCACCGTGTAGCGCTTCTTGCGGTCGTTCTTGCGCAAGGTGCGTTTCTTGGTGGTGGCCTTCTCCATGGGGGGCCTTTTCCTCTCTTCCACTATGAGCCGTGACAGCCCAAAGTCTGCCACCACCACAGTCTTGTCCTGGTAGAATAAAAGCAAGGTGAGGACTTCGTGGGGATGTTCTCAAACCTGGCCCTGGGGAGGAGGTATAGGCAAGAGAAGTCACTGAGAAGGGGAGAAAAGGTGTACAGCAAGGGAGAATCAGAGCAGAAAGCTCTATCAAATAGACACACTCAGGCCGGGTGCGGTGGCTTACGCCTGTAATTCCAGAACTTTGGGAGGCCAAGGCGGGTGAATCACCTGAGGTCAGTTGTTCAAGACCAGCCTGGCCAACTGGTGAAACCCTGTCACTAGTAAAAATACAAAAAAAAAAAAAAAAAAAAAAAGGCCGGGTGCGGTGGCTCAAGCCTGTAATCCCAGCACTTTGGGAGGCCGAGACGGGCGGATCACGAGGTCAGGAGATCGAGACCATCCTGGCTAACACGGTGAAACCCCATCTCTACTAAAAAATACAAAAAACTAGCTGGGCAAGGTGGCGGGCGCCTGTAGTCCCAGCTACTTGGGAGGCTGAGGCAGGAGAATGGCGTAAACCTGGGAGGTGGAGCTTGCAGTGAGCTGAGATCCGGCCACTGCACTCCAGCCTGGGTGACAGAGCAAGACTCCGTCTCAAAAAAAAAAAAAAAATTAGCTGGGCATGGTGGCACACGCCTGTAGTTCTAGCTGCTTGGGAAGCTGAAGCAGAATAATCACTAGAACCCAGGAGGTGGAGGTTACAGTAAGCCAAGATCGTGCCACTGAACTCCAGCCTGGGAAACAGAATGAGACTCCATCTAAAAAACAAAACAAAACAGAAAACGCATTTGTTTCTGAGGGTCTTGTATCTGAGCACAGCAGATTCCTAGCCCACAGTGGGGTTCATGGCAGAGCCACTAGAGCCCTGGAGGTGAGGTTCAGGGACTAGGAGAGTGGAACTCAGAGGTGGGACAGGCGGTTGCTTTTGTTTTTCCCCGTCCAGCCTTATTCCTAAAAAGATTTCAGGCAGTGGCTAGAACCAGGATGAGACAGAAAAAGGCAAGGAGGAGGCAGTAGGTGGGGAGACTTGTGGGAGACAAGCTCTTTGAATGGCTACAGGGCAGTCATGTGGGAAAGGAATGAAGATTGCGTGGTGTGGGTCTAGAGGGCAGAGCCAGGGCCAGCTGGTAGACACCCAGGAAGTCAGATAGCAAGTCAATAAGACAAATAACATTGTAACCACCACAGCTGAGGGGCAGTGGGAGGAATGCTGGTCTCAAACTGATCCCTGAAAATTTACTAGCTCAGTGGCCTCAGGCTGAGGCTTCAAGTGCCACCACTATAAAATGGGGTCAGCAATAAGCTGCTTTACAAGACTATTATGGGGCAAAAGCAGGTAAAACAACAGGGCTCTACATATAGTCAACAAACTTCTGAATGATTTCAAAGGTTGCTAATGAGAGAAGGTGAAATTATGTCTGTGTGTGTCTGGGAGCTCCCAGAAGACAGAGAAGGGCATTGGAAGAAGCAGGATAGGAGCTCCTAGGCAACACCTCTGCCCTCTAGCCAGAGGGGACAAGTCAGCCTCCTTTGTGACAAGGAAGCCAGGAAGGATAGGACCCTGGAGGCCAGGCCCAGAGCAGTGGGACATACCAACTTGATGAGGCAGTTGTGAGAGTTCAGATCCCGGTGGATGATACACATAGAGTGCAAATAGGCCTGGAACAGAAGCATGAGCTGAGGCTAAAGGACTGGCAAATCAACTAGACCCTGATTCTGAAATTGGGGGCCACAGATGCTCTCCTACCAGGCCATGCCCACCCAGCTTCAGAACCCAACCTGGACAACAGGGCCAGGTGTTCTCCTGTGGCCACTCCCTTGTTCCAACACTAACAGGAAGCCTGCGCTTCCTCTGCTTCTCTGCTGCCATCTCCTGCCCATCCTTTGGTTCACCAATCACTAGCACAGTGACTGGCCAAAGCCCTCACTGCTCTCTCCTTGTCCACAACTTCACAGAACCCTTGACGTTGCAGCAGTCCCTCCACCTCTACCCATTTTACCCAGATCCAGGCTGCTCCCTTCTCCCCACTCTCCCGATCTCTGGCTTGAGCCACTTTGAATCCTTCCTGCCTGCAATAGAGAAGTGACTTCTTGCTCTAGCTAGCTCTGTCTTTCAGACATTGACTTCCCCTAAGACTCCACTTTCCCAACTGTCTAAACTTTAAGCTCTCCCCCTTCCTACCAAAATGTTTGTAAACAAATTTGTTTGTTATGTCCCCTCTCCAGGCCTCCACCACTGGTTCTTGTCACTCTCAGGAGCAACTTCCTTTCTCCTTCCCTTCTCTTGCAAATATAGAAGGAGCCACTCCCTGCTCTCCAGCCCCATGCAATACTGCTTTCATCCCTTAGGCTCCTGGAGCTGCTCACACACCCAGGGAGCTCTTCCTGAATCACTACAGCTCATGACCTGCCTGTTTGCCTGTCTGAGGAAGTGCTCCTCAAAGACTGTCTACACCTTTCTTATGCTACCTGCTCCTGAGACGCTTGTGTGTCTGTTTTTTTCTTCCAGCCTTTTCAATGTCAGCCCTGCTCAAAGCCATCTCTTTTTCACAAGCTGAGACACCCCCACCAGCCACATGGATGCCTCTTCTGTCCCACAGCTCCAGCTGCCCCTTCTCTGCAGATTAGGTGACTAGCAGCCTCTCCCTAAGCTCTAGTCTCATGGAGCCAGTTTCCTGCCCAGAAGATGCTGATAGGTTCTGCTAGCACAGAACAGCAGGCATCAATGTAGCTCTTCCCAAACCGGTTCCTCAACCATCAGTGCCATCCCCCATCCCCCAAAACGTCTGATAAGTGACACCTCAAGCCACTCTTAACTCCTCCTCCTCCTCCTGTTCCCTCACTGCCAACTAGTCTCTCCATTCTGACTCCACCCTGCCTCCCAGGCTCCTGTCCCCACAGCCACTACCTTAATTCAGAAATCTGAAATGTGTCACTAGCCCCCTTTGCAGGTCTCCATTCTCTGGACCCTCCGCATTCCACCTCAACCTACTAACCACATCACACTCTTTTTTTTTTTTTTTTTTTGAGATGAAGTCTCGCTCTGTCATCCAGGCTGGAATGCAGTGGTGTGATCTTGGCTCACTGCAACTTCCGCCTCCCAGGTTCAAGCTATTCTCCTGCCTTGGCCTCCTGAGTAGCTGGGACTAGGGTGTGCACCACTGCGTCCAGCTAATTTTTGTATTTTTTTCTTTAGTAGAAACAAGGTTTCATCATGTTGGCCAGGCTGGTCTCAAACTCCTGACCTCAAGTGATCCACTCACCTTGGCCTCCCAAAAAAGTGCTGGGATTACAGGCATGAGCCACTGTGCCAGCCCAGACTCATTTTGGAAAAACCACAACTCTTAAGCTTTCTTGCTTAAAAATCTTTTCCTGCCAGGCACGGTGGCTCACAACTGTAATCCCAACACTTTGGGAGGCTGAGGCAGGAGGAATGCTTGAACCCAGGAGTTTGACATTAGCCTGGGTGACAAAGTGAGAACCTATCTCTACAAAAAAAAATTCAAAAAATTAGGTGTGGTGGTACACACCTCTAGTCCCAGCTACTTGGGAGGCTAAGGCAGGAGGATTGCTTGAGCCCAGGAGGTCGAGGTTGTAGTGAGCCATGATCATGCCACTGCACTCCAACGTGGGCAACAGAGCAAGATCCTGTCTCAAAACAACAACAAAAAACACCCTTCCTGATTCAAGCCCCAGAAACAGGAAAAAAAAAAAACAAAAACCCAAAAAAACCAAAAAGCCAGTCAACCAAAAAACTTTTACATCTGTCTCCTAAATATAGTCCACAACTCCTTAGCTTAAAACACAGCGACCCTAACGTACCCCCAAACTGTTCCAGACTACTACTATCTTTGTGGACCCCCATGTGAAGGGCAGTGGCTAAAGTCTCAGGTTTGGTAACCAGACTGATGAGCCCAGGATCCCAGCTCTGTCCCTTTCCAGTCCATCTTATATGGAAACCAAGGTTGTTATGAGGAATAAACATGCGCATGCACATTAATCCCTCAGTTCAGTGCCTAGCATATGGAGGGCACTCAGTACTTGTCAGCTGTTATATTTCTATGCTTGGAATCATTTGTTTCCAGGTAAAATAGATGATTTTCTCCTCTTTCCTCCCAGGTCTTTGCTCCTGTCACTTCAATCTTGGAGCCTCTCTGCCAATAGAACTTTATCCAATTCTGATCCTTCAGGGCTCCGCTAGAACTCATTTCCCCTTCATTGATTTCCTAGGCAGTGAGGTGCTCTACTTGGTCCAAGGGGCCCTCAGCACCCGAACACCTGTGACGGCAAGCCCAGGCCATCTCAGGCTACAGTTGCCTCTCTAGTTTGCCTTGTCTGTGCCCTGTTTGCCCTTAGAGATGTGTAATTCTTTGAGAATAGGGCTGTGAGCTGAGAACAGTTAGCTGGGGCCAGTTTCAGTGGCAGAGACAAACTCAATGAATAGCTGCTGACCCAGCCCACGCAAGTGGCACAGGAAGGGGTCTCTACATTCCAGTGAAGCCCACAATTCTCACATCTCTCCCTACTCTCACCCTGCTGGCAGGTTTGTTAGTGGGACTCACCATTCCAGAGGCAATTCCTTTGGCAAACCTGACCTTCTGCTGCCAGGGGAATGGATCCTGCAGAATGGGGGAAATGATTGTCAGAGGTTGTTGAGCCCTATCCCACTTGTGGTCCAGGCCCTATGGGTCAATGTGGTCTCCTAGTGAAGCCTCCCTGTCTATGCTCAGTCCCACCCAGCATGGTCCTTTGGGGGCAAAGCAGGGCCCCTCTGGCCTTTAAGCTCCCAGGGTAGTGATAGCATAGGTATCTGACAACATACCAAGGCTCCTGGAGACTATGGGGTGGTGTACTCACCATATTGCGCAGGAAGTCCTTCAGTGTGCCCCCCTCAATGTACTCTGTCAGAAGGTTCAGCTTCTTATCCTTGTACAGCACACCAATGAACTTGAGCACATTGGGGTGGTCCAGGCTGCGCATCACTTTCACCTGGGGGTCAGGGAAGCCAAGGAAAGCTGGCTGTTAACTTCTATGTCTTCCTTACCCCTTCCCTCCAGGGAATCAGCTTGACAAGTGTTACCACCTGTATCTCCTACCACCTCTCTTGTGATATGACAGGGCACTAAGATCAGGATGAGGGAAGACCACCACCATATAGATGGAGATGGCTTCACAGACCTTACTCTTGGGATCCTGCCTTTCTAGGAACTGCACTGGAGAAACTGGGGTGGGAGTGGCCAAGTAGCTTGGAGGGCAGTACCCGGACCACAGGTGTCCCCAACTGACGTTGCTCCATGAAGTAACTTGGGAGAAGTGGTGAAAACTGTAAATGCCCAAGGAGTGTGAGTGCTCAGGGAGCTCCCCCTCCAGGTTCCCTTAGCAGGGCATTCAGGTAAGGATTATAACATCGAGTTATACTAAACTGGTGTGTTTTCATGTCCATCATCCTCATAACCTGAGAGCTTCTCTGAACCATGTATCTTTTGTTACTGCATCCCTTGTATCCTCTTTGTGTTGCTTTTAGTAAGTGTTCATTGAACAAATAATTATGCTGTAATTTAGAGGGAGTGGGATCTTCCTCTAGGGCTCTTTTCTGCTTAGTCTTTAAGACAGTGATTCCAAACTCTATTTCCTCTTGAAGCCATTATTTGTAAGGTCTTCTCTCTTCCAATGGTGACACCAACCTCCCGGGCCCCCTCCATCTTCTTACCTCAGTCAGAAAAGTTTTCTGGGTCTCCTCATCACATCGAATTAACTCTTTCATGACCATCACTTTGCCCGTGGCTTTGTGTGTCACCTACAGGGAGGGTGACTGTTAACGGTGCTGAGACCAGAAGTTCTGGAGAACTGTGAGAAAATCTATGCAGCTGGCCATCCCATCCCTTGGAGGACACACTGAGCCGGGTCAGACTGACAGAGTTCATGTGTGGAAGATGCAGCATGGAGCAACGTGGGACTCAGATGGAAGCATACCCTCTTTTCTGGAGAGGTGGGCATGCACGGAGGAGAGGCAAGAACCGAGAAAAGGGAAATGGGGAAGGAGGCAGGAGGGGACGCTGCCAAGCCAAGCAGGGGCTCTGGTCATTTGGCATAGGAGTGAGTCTCTTGAGTGAACAGAACTCTGGGGGCAGGAAGGTCAGTGCCAAAGACATGCACCAAGGAGCTGGGTGGGTCAGGGGTGAGCTCTCCAGCCCTGCTGCCCCTGCAAGCTGAGACACATGGCTTACCTGACCCCCCCTCCCAGTTCTCAGCAGAGGAGGAGGAGGAGGAGGAGAGAAAGAGAGAGGTTAGTCCCTGAGACTGTTCACCAGGGAGGCAGGAGCCATTCCCCTGTGTGCTCCTTGTAGCATGCCCGGTACTGAGGTCTGTGGGCACCTAACAAACACCCACTGACTGGAGGCAGGAGGGCCACAGGCACAGCTCAACCCAACCTGGATCTCTAGGTCCACAAGCTCACTGTAACAGTAACACTGACCTTAGGTGGCCTGGGTAGGGGTGAAGCCTCTCACACCATCACCCAAAGCCAGGAAGGAGGCCTGGCGTCCTGCAGGGTGTGGGGTGAGGCCAAGTGATGAAAAATCCCCGAAAGACATTGACAGAGGGACTGGGGGCAGAAGAGCAAAGTATTTGTTACCTGCGCTCACCTTGATAGCCTGCCCAAAGAAGCCCTTCCCCAGGACCTCCCCGTGGATTAGGTCACAGGGCCGGAAGATCTGCTGTGAATAGCTGCTGGAACAACGAAGGGATTCTGAGCGGCTGATGTCACGGCTGAACAGCAGGGGCTCCTTTGGGGAGCTGGGGCCAGGGGACCTGGAGATGCTGTTACTGCGCCTGAAGATGAGGAAAGATGGGGGTAGGGATGCGTAGTCCTCAGAGACTGGCCAAGAAACCCTGGAGGAAGGAACCTTAGGGGCACCTGTTCATTCCAGTGTCTATAGATGTTATTATTGGGGAACAGGGGCTCTTACATCAAATGTATCATTTTGGGGTTGCTGACATCAGTCATTTATTTAAGCATAGTAAAAACACATTCAAAATGGGAACTCTACATACATCACACATAGAACAATTTAGATTCTACTAGCTTATAATGCTCAGTATATGACATATATGACAAGACTGTAGATGGTAATTCACCATCTCCCATATTTGCTTGATTTAAGGTACTAACTGGTTTAGAGTGATAGTTATACTAGTATCCAAAAAATGAGCAAATGGGATTTTTTTTTTTTTTTTGAGACGGAGTCTCGCTCTGTCGCCCAGGTTGGAGTTCAGTGGCTGGATCTCAGCTCACTGCAAGCTCTGCCTCCCGGGTTTACGCCATTCTCCTGCCTCAGCCTCCCGAGTAGCTGGGACTACAGGTGCCCGCCACCTCGCCCGGCTAATTTTTTGTATTTTTTTTTAGTACAGACGGGGTTTCACTGTGTTAGCCAGGATGGTCTCGATCTCCTGACCTCGTGATCCACCCGTCTTGGCCTCCCAAAGTGCTGGGATTACAGGCTTGAGCCACTGCGCCCGGCCTTTTTTTTTCTTTTTGAGACAGAGTCTCACTCTGTCAACCAGGCTGGAGTGCAGTGGTGTGATCTTGGCTCACTGCAACCTCTGTCTCCCCGGTTCACATGAGTCTTGTGCCCCAGCCTCCTGAGTAACTGGGACTACAGGCATGTGCTACCAGGCCCAGCTAGTTATTACTATTATTTTTGAGACAGAGTCTTGCTCTGTCGCCCAGGCTGGAGTACAATGGCACGATCTTGGCTCACTGCAACCTCCATCTCCCAGGTTCAAGCAATTCTCCTGCCTCAGCCTCCCAAGTAGCTGAGACTACAGGTGCACACCACCACACCTGGCTAATTTTTTTTTTTTTTTGACAGAGTCTCGCTTTGTCACCCAGGCTGAAGTGCAATGGTGGGATCTCCACTCACTGCAACCTCTGCCTCCCAGGTTCAAGCGATTCTCCTGCTTCAGCCTCCCAAGTAGCTGGGATTACAGGCACGTGCCACCACGCCCGAATAATTTTTGTGTTTTTTTTTAGTAGAGATGGGGTTTCACCATGTTGGCCAGGTTGGTCTTGAACTCCTGACCTCACAAGCCACCTGTCTTGGCCTCCCTAAGTGCTGGGATTACAGGCGTGAGCCACAGCACCTGGCTCTAATTTTTGTATTTTTAGTGGAGATGGGGTTTCACCATATTGGCCAAACTAGTCTCAAACTCCTGACCTTGTGATCCACCCGCCTCGGCCTCCCAAAGTGCTGGGATTACAGGCATGAGCCACCATGCCTGGCCAGCAAATGGGATTTTGGATGATATTTTGCACATCTTTGTACCTGTCCATGTTTCCTGAATTTTAAGATGATAAGCATATATGATTTTTATAGCAATAAAGTCACTATGTTTACATTTTCAAAAGTGGTAGATAATAGTCATGGTCAATGACTATAGTTTCACTTACTGAAGGAGGGACAAGAAGGTTGAAGTCCACAGCACTGCAGGTGAACAGCCCTGTGAACTTTCTCTCCGGGGTATGCTCCTGCTTTACTTGGGCTACCCAGAGAGGACTGACGCTGGATGGCTCTTGGCTTGTCCTGCCCTACAGGTTTTCTTACCCTTGTTCTTTTGCTCTGCCTCCTGCTGACCATGCCCACCAGAGCACACAAGGTTAGCTGCCCCCCTCCTCTGCATGGTGGCTCTACAGGTATCTGGCCACTCCCAAATCTTCCCTTTTCCAGGCCATGAATTTCTAGCTCTTCTCTGCCCTATGTTGCCCTGCCTCCCACTAATTTCATCATACTGATCAAGGCCAAGAGGCAGCGGGAGTGAGGGGAGCAATTTGAGGGGAGGGTATTGTTTCCAACACATGCCAGCTGAGAGGGCCCTAACTTTGTTTGGTGAGGAGAGTGGATTAAAACAACAACAACAAACAAACAAACAAAAACAACTACCTTTTTTTTTTGGGGACAATGTCTCACTCTGTTGCCCAAGCTGTAGTAGTACAGTGGTGTGATCAAGGCTCACTGCAGCCTTGAACTCCTGGGCTCAGGCAATCCTCCTCCTAAGCCTCTCGAATAGCTGGGATTACAGGCATGCGCCAACATGCCCAGTTAACTTTTTTATTCTTTGTAGAGACAGGAATGTTGCCCAGGCTGCTCCTGAACTCCTGGCCTCAAGCAATCCTCTGGCCTTGGCCTCCCAAAGTTCTGAGATTACAGGTGTGAGCCACAGTGCCCTGCCCATCTAATTAAAAACAATTTTTTTTGGTAGAGACAGTGTCTCACTATGTTGCCCAGGCTGGTCTCAAACTCCTGTGCTGAAGCGATCCTCCTACCTAGGCCTCCCAGAGTGTTGGGATTACAGGCACGAGCTGCCATGCCTGGCCAAGAACCTGATTCTTAGTGATACTAAGAATGCGTCACATTTACTGAACGCTGTCCCTATGGCAGCACCATACAACTTTATGTCCTTTTCCACATTTAAGTCTTACATAATTGGTGAGACAGCCACCTTCATCTTACCATCTTACGTCACAGATGTAGAAACAGGTTCAGAGAAATGAAGTGATTTGTGAAGGGAGGAGCTTAGCCTGAAACCCCAGTAGGGTATCAGTATTTCTGCCCGGGAGCCAGTGCTCTTGACTTCTTTTCTGCAAGTCTCCCTACTTGGGGCTTCCACTCAAGGTAACTGCTCCTTCTCCATGGACCTGGCAGAATCTGGGGTTTGGGGGTTGTTGGTCCCTCAAGTCTAAAAAACTTTCATTCATCTTTTACTTTATTGTTTTCAAAGTCTTTCTACACAATTTATTCAATCCCATCTGTGCCCCTACTCCAGGCTCTGAGCTCCATGCTTTCTCCACAGGCCATGCTGCTCTTCAGGGTATAGCATCACCACCTCCTGTCCAGCTTAGGAGTTCAGTGCACAGAGCCTGACCCTCCAGTTTCTAAGGAAACCTGGCAGACAGCTGGTCCACAAAGGCTCTGGCTATAAACTGTGATCCCCACAGGGGCAGCTGGGTCAGCACAATCCTCATAGTCTGTCCCTGGCCAGCTGGTTCCTCTCCTAACTCTGCAGGCTTCTGAAAGCCAGCTCAGCTTCATCTGAGAGACAGACATGGGACAGGACAGAGCCAGGGTGGGAGGTAGCACCTCAGGGAACGTCTCCTCAGTGTCCCCTCCAGATTCTCCTTGGTGTCCAGGGTGCTGAGGGTGTGGGGGTGTCCAGCATTCTGCATGTGAGGAGCGAGCCGGGCCTCCAGTCGCAGCTGGTCCAGGCGTTGGGAGACGGGGTCATGTTCAATCAACAGCTGAAGTGTCTGGCTCGTCTGGCTAATTGCATCCTCCACCTGCGGCCAAGAGCAGTATAAAGCTCCCACAGGCTGCCCCATCCCAGGCCACCCATGGCCAACCCAGATGACTCAGGCACAGTGTGGCCAGTGCTCAACTTGGCTAATGGTGGCCTCTAGCTGTCAGTGGCCTCACAGTGCCCTCTGCCTGGCATCCCGTCAGCTCTCCCATCCATCAACCATCCCTGCTACCCTGGGAACCTGTCAAGCTGTAATAGGTCATCAGTGGTCACAGGCTCAATGCTAAGACAAAGAGATGGGCTGGGGGTAGGAAAAGGTAAAGGCTATAGCCTGATTTCCCAGAGGATCTATTCCATGTCCCACTCTCACAAGACAGATTAGACACACACTCTACCTCCTCCACCTGAAGTGTGCGGACCGGGGTCCCATTGATCTCCAGGATGCGGTCCCCAGGGTGGATGGCATTGCGATTGTTGGGACTGATGTGCATCCGGTTGACCCTGGGCCAGACAAAAGTTGAGGCAGGGTAAAGATGTCCTAAAAACCTGCTTGACCAATTCTGCTTGTGCAGGGAAGGTCCCAGGCCACCAGTTGCCCCTAAAGGGCCCAGGATATCCACATGGAAAGGCAACACCTTTTCTAGGATGCCCCATCTCAGTGAAGGGAATTGCCACTCACCCTGTGGCCTAAGCCAGAAACTTGGACATCATCTTCCCCATTTGGAGTTCCCTCATCCCTCTCCTACTCCCATCTCTAAGAACTCTGCCTTCTTTCCATCATTGTAGTTATTCACATCTCTTACCTGGATCACTGTAATAGCTTCTTTTTGTTTTTTAAACTTTGTTTTTAATTTTTTTTTGAGATGGTATCTTACTCTGTCATCCAGGCTGGAGTGCAATGGCATGATCTGGGCTCACTACAACCTCCGCCTCCCAGGCTCAAGCAATTCTCATGCCTCAGCCTCTTGAGTAACTGGGATTACAGGCGCGTGCCACCATGCCTAGCTAATTTTTTGTACTTTTTGTAGAGATGGGGTTTTGCCATGTTGGTCAGGCTAATCTCAAACTCTTGACCTCAAGTAATCTGCCCACCTTGGCCTCCCAGAGTGCTGGGATTACAGGAGTGAGCCACTATATCTGGACTTTTTTTTTTTTTGAGACAGAGTCTCGCTCTGTCCCCCTGGCTGGAGTGCAGTGGCGCGATCTCAGCTCACTGCAAGCTCCGCCTCCCGGGATCATGCCATTCTCCTGCCTCAGCCTCCTGAGTAGCTGGGACTACAGGCACCCGCGCCCGGCTAATTTTTTGTACTTTTAGTAAAGACGGGGTTTCACCGTGATCTCGATCTCCTGACCTTGTGATCCGCCTGCCTTAGCCTCCCAAAGTGCTGGGATTACAGGCGTGAGCCACCGCGCCCGGCCTTATATCTGGATTTTAATTTTAAAAAATAGAGATGGGGTCTTGCTATATTGGCCAGGTTGGTCTTGAACTCCTGGCCTCAAGCAATCCTCCCACCTCAGCCTCCCAAAGTGCTGAGATTACAGGCATGAGCCACCATGCCCAGCCTACAACAGCTTCCTAACTGGTCTCTATACCTCTAGGCTTTCCCCTCTCCAATCCAACCTCCGTACCAGTGATCCTTCTAAAATGTTAACTTGGTCACAACAGCTTGCTGCTTAAACTTTCAATGGATCTGCTGGATCTTCATAATCCAGGCCCTCTGTATGCTTAACAGCCCCTTTTTTGGTCACACCCAACCTACATCAGACATGATTAAGACTCCCACTTTTGGAGAATGTTTCTCCCTCTGCCCTGAACACAATTCCCTCTCCTCTTCATCTAATGAGGTGGTAGAACAGACCTTAGCTCCTCCTGCCTTCCCAAACTCTAGTATCTTTCACCTACTGTGCAAGCACTAGCCTAGTGTCCAACACATGGTAGATGCAAAATCAACATTTACATGGTAAGCAGCCAGAGGTACGACATTACTGGTATTAGATAGACACAGACTCTTTCTCCATCTGGTCTCTGGCCTCAATCTAGGATAGGGTCTTAACTTCTTTTGGGCCATAGACCACATTTTCTCCGTTCACACTCTCAACTGACAAAATAATAATCAACCAACTCCTATTATATGCCAGGTACTGTTCCAAGCCCTGGGCATGCAGCACTGAACAAGAGAGCAAGTTCCTTCTGGAATTTACATTCTAGTGGAGGGGAAAGAAGATAAACAACTAATACACATAATCAAGCCAGATAATTTCAAAGAGCAAACATGATCTGAAACCTGACACCTGAAAGATGAGTCATTCTGGCCTTAAGTATCTGGTAGGAAGTAGCCTGGGCAGAAAGAACAATAAGTGCCAAGGCCCAGGTGTGGTTACAGCATAGTGGGGTCCAGGAGAAAGATATGAGATGAGAATAAAGGGAGTTCTGCATGAGACTTTGGAGATCTAAGCCCTCTGAGGCCCATTTACAGACTCTGCTCAAGAACCCCTGCTGAAGGGTTCTCAAAATACTTACTCTTTCACTTGCACAGTGGTGGCGTAGTTGGAGCAGGCACTCTCCACGGACACGGAGAAGCCCCGCCTGCCTTCAGTGGTGGCTGGCATGGAGATGAGCGTGACAGAGTAGGGCAGCTGGTCCTGAACAGACTCTGTGGAGAGTCTCTCAAACATGGGTGCCAGCACCACCTCATTGTGGCACTTCCCACTGGGGAGAGGGCACAGGGGGGAGTATGATGCTAGAGTCCCATGCAGAAGCCCCCCAGCAACCACTGCACCATGTGGCTTTAAGCAACAGTACCTATAGTCTCACTACCACCCTCTTTGTCATGATTCTAGCTGGCTGCTCAGAATGAGGAGCCTGGGTTCTCAGGGTGGGCTGGGACTGGGGGTGCTGAGCTGGATCTGCAGCAAGTGGTATATTTGGAAGAACATTGGCCTGGGTTGGGGTGAGATGGCCTGGGTTCTCTTCACTCTGCCTTTGACTCACAATGAGAACCTTGCCCTTGTACTATTCTATCCCATGAGCCCCAGGCTGACTTCTTTCATCAACCAAGGTGGCTGGACAGGGTGAGGTCTAAGGGGTCTTTGACTTTAATGTTCTGGGATCCTCCTTGAAGGTGCCTCCCACTGGGAGGACTGCAGGGCAGAGTGAAGACATTTTCAAGGTAGGTAAGAAAAAAGGGTAGAGACATGTGTAAATCATTCCGCTTACAAGTTAAAGAGCTGGTTAAGAGCACTGCTGTGATAGGAATCCAATGCTCTGACTACACTAACACTCTTTCTGCCCAACTCACCCTGCCACCGTCCCTCCCCCAGGCCACTCTTATATGGGAGAGGATAGACAAAGGACTACCATCTTACCAGTAGAGGGTGGCGTGCTGCACCAGTGCATATGCATCCCCATCCTCGATGATCACCTTGCAGCTCATACAGGCAAAGCACTCTGGGTGGTACTTGAACTCCCCAGCCACCTGTGAGCAGGTGGGGAGAAGGGTGCACAAAGGGAGGAAGGAAGTGAGTTATCACTGTTGCTGGAGTGAAGACAGGGGTAGGTGAATGACCTCCAATCAAGGCCCCAGTCAAAATCCACTCTTTCACTCTCTGCCCTAGAGCTTCCAAAGAAAGTATCAGATTGGTACCTCCTGTCATTTCTGAGACTGCACAAAACTGTTTTCGTTTCAGTTATGAGAACAAGTCCCCAGAAGTAATCATCCCCACTAAAAAAGATCATAGTTCCTCCAATACAGGGTTGGCAAGTCTGTGACTATGCTTAAAGTCCTGTGTCCAGAGCGGGTATAAGAGGTAGCACCTCTCTCTGCCAGCCCATTCCAGAGTCTCCTTTTCTTATTCCCTGAACACAACCTAGGTATATCCTCCTTTCAGCCTATAACACTCTCCTTTGAGGTCCTTATCCAACTATACTGTGTCTCCTCTCTGCCTGCCTCTCCTCCCACTCCCAATATTAAACTATTAAGTCTTTGAGGGAAGGATCTTACCTTTCACTTAATAGGTGCTCAGCTGATACCTGCTGGTTGAATGAATGAATGAATAAAGGGAGATGCCCTGGCTGATGGAAAGACCAAAAGATGAACAGCCACGGGGAACCGGAAGCACTGTCAATGGACTCTGAAGACCAAGAGGGGCAGATATGAAGGGACTCACTCACCATAAAAGGCCCTGTCATCAGCAGGGAGCACCCATGACAGAACTCCCCAAACTTCCCCCAGTAGTCCTTGGGGCAATAGAGCTTCCCATCTTTCTCGTAGTACCAGTTGGTGAGGGAATCCTGGCATTCTGAACACCTGAAAGGCAAGACAAGAACTGAAATTCTCCTGGATCCCTGGAACCAGGCCACATAGGCTGTCCCTGGCTCCTAGGTCTGAAAACAAAATAGACAGTCCTCTTTGATCCAAAGCCAAGATGGGGGAAAGTTAACAGCCTTGTGCTATCTCCCCAACAGAAGCTGGTTCAGAGTGAACAAGGCCCCAGAAACCAGCTCTGTGTTGCCTGCCTCAGTGGACAGACTAGTGTTTCACAACCTCTTTGGGTCTTGGAGCCCTCTGAGAATTTGATAAAAGCCAAGAAGCCTCCCTTAGAAAAACGCACATATAAGGAAGATGTGTATATAATTTAGGTGGGGGTGTGTGTGTGTATATAAAGGATTGTCTGAAACCTATTTATGGCACCAGTTAAGGACCTCTGGTCTTGACAGATATTTCAATGAACAAAAGCAGTTTGATCATCTCCACTCTTCAAAACCGACCCATCACCAACAGCGTTACCAATGTAATGTTCTTGCCAAAAATATGTTAAGTATAAAAAAACTAATCAGGCAAATCTAGAATGTGAGTTATTCTATAAGATAACTGGTCTTGACTCTTCTAAAAAGTCATGGGGAGAAGAAAAGGCACAGATTTTAAAAAGCCTAGAGACACAGCAACCAAATATGATGCCTACACCTTGGATTCAAATTTAGATTAAAAAAGGCAACAGCCATGAACATTTTTTGGAACTGAGGAAATCTGGATTTGGACTATAATATTATATTGTAAAATTACTGTGAATTTTCTTAGATGTGATGATATTTGACTTATATAGGAGAATTCTTAGGAGAAACATATTGAACTATTTAAGGGTAAAAGTCAAGATGCATTTAAGTTACTCTGAAATAGTTCAGCAAAAATAAATAAATGAAAGTATATAGACAGAGGGAGAGAGAGACACAAACTGGCATAACATTAACAAATGATGAATCTATGTGAAAGGTATGTAGGTGTTATTTGAACTACATTTTCAACTTTTTTACATATTTGAAATTTTTTTCAAAATAAAATATTGGGGAAGAAACCCAACATTCTATTAGCAACGTGTAAGATGTACATGTTAGATCCACAGCTTGCTGGGCGGGGTGGCTGATGCCTGTAATCCCAGCACTTTGGGAAGCTGAGATGGGAGGATCACTTGAGCCCAGGAGTTCGAGACCAGCCTGAGCAACATAGTAAGACCCTGTCTCTTAAAAAAAAAAAAAAAAATCCATAGCTCCCTTCTCCCCTAATCACCTGGCTATGAAGTTCCACCTCTCAAAAGTCAGGTGTGTTGTCAGGACTTACCTGCACAACCTCCTCCTTTCTTCTGAGCTTCCCAACACACACAGCTAAGAGCTCCTTGGCCTGCTGAGCCCATGCCATTTCTTTCCTTCTAGTTCCTTCTTTTCCCTATTCTCGTTGTCAAGGCCTTCCACCTTCCACAGTGGCCATATCGTTGTTTCCAAGAGGTTTCAACATTGCTTGGGTTGAATCTTGATCCTGCCACTTACTAGTTACATCAACTTGGGCAAGATATTTTACTTACTTCTCTGGCCTAGTTTCCTCATCTATAAAATGAACTGCTGTGAAAATTAAAGGAAATAATACGTATCAAAAATATAGAGAGCAGCTGGGCACAGTGGCTCACGCTTGTAATCCCAGCACTTTGGGAGGCCGAGGCAGGTGGATTACTTGAAGTCAGGAGTTCGAGACCAGACTGGCCAATATGGTGAAACCCGGTCTCTACTAAAAATACAAAAAATTAGCTAGGCGTGGTGGCACGAACCTGTAATCCCAGCTTCTCGGGAGGCTGAGGCAGGAGAATCGCTGAAACCCAGGAGGTGGAGGTTGTAGTGAGCCAAGATCATGCTACTGCACTCCAGCCTGGGTGACAGAGCCAGACTCCATCTCAAAAAAAATTATAGATAGACAAGACAGAGATAGCTTATATAAAAGACCTAATATAGGCTGGGCGCAGTGGCTCACACCTGTAATCCCAGCACTTTGGGAGGCTGAGGCAGGCAGATCACAAGGTCAGGAGTTTTGAGACTAGCCTGGCCAACATAGTGAAATCCTATCTCTACTAAAAATACAAAAATTAGCCAGTCATGGTGGCCTGCGCCTGTAGTCCCAGCTACTCAGAAGGCTGAGGCAGGAGAATTGCTTGAACCTAGGAGGCAGAGGTTGTGGTGATCCGAGACTGCACCACTGCACTCCAGCCTGGACAACAAAGCGAGACTCCATCTCAAAAAAAAAAAAAAAAAAAAAAAAAGACCAAATATAGTAGAAACTCAGTATGTGTTAACTTTTATTAAAGATGATAATGACAATGTAATGGCAGCTCACATTATCAGCCACTTCCTGTCACTAGCTGGACAACTTCTCTTAGTAGCTTTCTCTCATTGAAAACAACTAATAGCATCCCATTATTACAAAGAGCCAATGTGAAGAGGAAATAAGCTAATGTATGAGAGAAAGTCTTTTGCCAGGCAAGTGCATTATTATAACTTGCTAAGCACTGCAGATATAAAAGATAAATACACAGGGCACCCTACTTCACTTTTCGTGAGCTTATGAAGAGTTGAGGAAGAGAAAGTCTAAATAAAATTCAACAATGCAAGGTGAGAGGACACAATGAGTTCTACTACTTCTGAGCAATGCAGGAGGTAGAGAAGAGGGGCAGGAATGAGTTGAAGCAGCTGAGCTAGGAAGTCTAGAGAAGCAAGTCCCTGAGAATTCCTTTATCTTTCTGGAGTAGCCAATTCCCCGCTGGGTGCTCAACAAACACTGATGGCTATTTTTACCCTATAGTTTTCCTACTTGTCTTATGGAAGGGGAACTTCAGGGTCTGGAGGGCTGGGTATGGCATGAAGAGTATGGCTGTGAAGTGTCTAAAAACTGCGCAGTGAGGATGTAGGCAGAGGGGAAGACTGTTCTTGGTATGTGGCTCACACTCCTCTCAATGTAAGATACATGTGGGATGAGCTCTAAATGAGGAGGAGAGAGAGATGGGTTCAAGTTCTTGGGTGCTAACATAGCCTTGGACAAGCCCCTTTCCCTCTCTGGGTTGTTTCCCCACCTGTGAAACAAGGGGACACATAATACCCTGGGTCCCCTTAACTCTGTGTATATCTGTGTTTTTCCCTAGATGATCTGAGGTTCTACTCTTAGTACCACCATTTACCACCTAAGTGATCTTGGGCTAGCCCCTTCACTTCTCATTTGTGAAACGGCAATGTCATCACCTACTTTCAAGGTAGCAGTGAGGATTTTTTCTTTTTTTTTTTTTGAGATGGAGTTTTACTGTTATCACCCAGGCTGGAGTGCAGTGGCTCGATCTTGGCTCACTGCAACCTCTGCCTCCCGAGTTCAAGTGATTTTCCTGCCTCAGCCTCCTGAGTAGCTGGGATTACTGGCGCAGGCCACCACACCCAGCTAATTTTTCTGTTTTTAGTAGAGAAGGGGTTTCCCTGTGTTGGAGAGGCTGATCTCGAACTCCTGACCTCAAGTGATCCGTCCCCGCCCGCCGTGGCCTCCCAAAGTGTTGGGATTACAGGCGTGAGCCACTGTGCCTGGCCTGCAGTGAGGATTCAATGTGGTTCTGAAGAACTATGGGGTGCCCAACAGAGGGCTGGCAGTAGGAGCAGGGGCTTCCTTCTTGCCTCCCGTCTTCTGACTTAGAAGTTCCGGGGCAACCAGCTTTCTTCTTCACTAGACTGTTAGTTCCCTAAGGATAAAAACAGCATCCCACTTACTCTTGTTGGACTCAGCACCAAGCAAAGGACCTGGAAGAGCAAAGCTTTAACAAATGTTTCCAAACCAAAAATGGTAGGAGTGGCAAGAACCAGTAGCCCAGGTAGGGGAGCACAAGGGTTCCATGGCTCATGGCCACCAGGTCCTTTTTTTCTTCTGTGTGCAGACATATTTGCACCCAAATGCAGGCCTGGGCTTTGTTACGCCCTTGCAATGGTATGTACGCCGCAGGGCATGGGAGCACCAGAACACACCCTCCTTTCCATTGCCAATATCCTGCTTTTGTTTGCTGCAAGTAGCTCTGGCCAGGCCCAGGAGAGGGAGCAGGGAGAGAAACAAGTGCAGGCATGCAGGAGACAGCCAGGCCAGCCTGCTGGGAAGAACACCTGGCTAGAGAGCAACATCACCAGTCCACACATCTGTGTCAAGGAATGCCTTTAAAGGGCACAGCCAGCTATGTGGCCAAAACTGCCACAGATGTCTCTGAAGAACTGGAACGTGAACAGCTGATAGGACTGGGTATGGGTCCCTAAGCTGTGTTTTGCCACAGAACACAACTGGGTTCTTGGACCACTTAAGAAGTTGCCATGGTAGACTTCAGAGTTCTAGCTTAGCTATCAATTAACAGCTACTATTTATTGAATGCCAACCATAATCCAGGTCCTATAAGAGGTACCTTATTTATATTATCTCTAATCCTGACAACCCTACAAGGTAGTAGGATTATCCCTATTTTATAGAAGACTGAAAAGCAGAGTTAAAGTCAAATAATTCTGCAAAGTTGCCCAATACATAATTGATGGAGCTGGAATGTGAAGCTATGTGTGCTTGGCTACAAAGCCGCATCCACTGTACTATGTCACTGGAGTGAGACAGCACATCTCTCAACAGCTGAGCCTCAGGATTCTCACCTGTGAAAATAAGGAGGCTGGAGGCCTGACAGTTCAAGACCCTTTGAGTGTTAACACTTCATGATGCTTCTCCTTTACTCCAAGTACTGAATGTTAAATGGCACAATTCTCCTCCTTCATATACTTCACAGTGTTCAATTCCCCAGCAGTCTCTGTTCTTTTAAGCAAAGAATCCAGAACACTCTGGAACTGTAAGGTGCTACTCAAACATGTTCCACCTTGGATTCTTAGAGGCCATGGACCCCATACGTTCTTCCCAAAGCCAAGGCTGTTTTTCTACCTTTCAGCTTTTGAAAGTTTCAAGTGAAAGTCAAAATCTGCCCTGGCTGTAGGTAGAAGAGTACCCAGCTGGGAGGTGGTGAAGCTGAGGTCTGAACCAGTCATCCCACTGTCCTGAGGAGCCAGAGTGAATTGAGCTGAAATCCTCAGGTCAGGGGAGATCACCTAGAAGCCTTCATACGCTGAGGGTACGCCTAAGGACAACCTCCAAAACTCATCTTCCAAAACTATTAGAGGGGTTCCAAGGGCTTGGGCAGATACAAAGTGCACAGAACCCTGGTGGTCAGTTCAGTGGGCCAGCCCAGATCCACACAGAGACCTTTTGAGTCAGCAGAGAACACATGAGTTTTTTTTTAAAAGATAATCAGTTCAGATTTTCTCTTTCAAGACCTGGATCCATATTCCTTCTCTGCCATTTACTATCTGTGTCACCTAAGGCCAGTTACTTCATGACTCTGAGCCTCAGTTTCCTCACTTGTACATTGCTGATAGTATCTTACGGGGTTATGAGAATTAAATTATGTACAGATGTCCTGCATGATGCCTGGCTCACAGCAGGTAGCCAGTAAGTATTCATTTATTTCCCTCCCCAATTTGAGAACGCCAAGGGCAAATGCAGACAGACCCCTTTTTCTCCTATGCCTAGCAATATGGACCTGCTTCTCAGCCCAGAATGAGACAGATTTCTGTAAGTAAGGTCCTAAAATGAATTATTTCTCTATTCAATTAGAAATCAACATTTTTTTTTAAGAGATAAGAGTCTTACTCTGTCACCCAGACTGGAGTGCAGTGGCACAATCATTGCTCACTGTAGTCTGACACCCCAGGCTCAAGAGATCCTCCTGCCTCAGCCTCCTGAGTAGCTGGGACTACAGGTGCACACCACCATGCCTGGCTAATTTTTTATTTTTTGTGGAGACAGGGTCTCCCTATGTTGCCCAGGCTGGTCTTAAACTCCTGGACTCAAGTGATCCTCCAGCCTTGGCCTCCCAAAGTGCTGGGATTACAGGAAGGAGCCACCACACCCAGCTGAAATCAACTGGTTTTAATAGATTCCTAACAATTAGGAAATAGTTACTGTGCATCTACGATGTGTAAGAACAAGCAGGCAAGGTGCTATGCTGAGAGAAGCCAAGTGAGATAAGACAGAGACCCAGCCCTCACTCACATCCAGATTCTTCAGACAAAAATGTTTACAGGTAAATTCTCAACCTTATGGGGTAAGAGAACCAGTCATTATTGCAGTGGATTTACACATGTTAAAGCATAAGCCCTCCCATGTCCTGATGAAGACCTGGCTGGATGGTCATCCCTTAACCTCCCGGTGAGCAGCCAGTTGTAGAGAAGCTTCTTTCAGCCCCCAGCCTCTGAATTGACTGGGCTGGAAGGAGAGAAAAGGAAGCTCCCTCCACCATAGCCTGAGGCCACCTGGAGAGCATCACAATTGGGGATGCCAACTTTTCCCCAGGGCCCAGAAGGGCAGATATGACAGGGGCCTAGAGAGACTCTGTTCCATAAGAGCTCAGTCAAAAATCCCTGTATTACTCCTCCTTCCTGCAGATCCTGTAGACTGAAACAGTCTGACAATTAAGCTGTAAGTATTATGGAGTATGTTATTATTGTTTTAAAAATTTAACCAAACACATAATGAAGCCTATGAACAGCAAGAAATAAGTGTTGCTAGAGTGCACTGATTCAGTTCCAACCAAAAACCAGGAAGACTGTAGTTTCAAGTAATTTGTGTAGTTGTACTGCAATTAAAGACAGGGCCTCCATTATTTGGCAAATAATGGAAAAGAGCTTGTGTGCCTTTGAGGAGCCACATAGAAGTTGCAGAGTTGGGAACCACTCACCTGATCTAAGTCCTTCATTTTTCTTTTCTTTTTTTTTTTTTTTTTTTTTGAGACAGAGTCTTGCTCTGTCGCCCAGGCTGGAGTGCAGTGGCGCAATCTTGGCTGACTGCAAGCTCCGCCTCCCGGGTTCACACCATTCTCCTGCCTCAGCCTCCTGAGTAGCTGGGACTACAGGCGCCTGCCACCGCGCCCGGCTGATTTTTTGTATTTTTAGTAGAGACGGGGTTTCACCGTGGTCTCGATCTCCTGACCTTGTGATCCGCCCGCCTCGGCCTCCCAAAGTGCTGGGATTACAGGCGTGAGCCACCGCGCCCGGCCATTTTTCAAATAAGGAGAAAAAGAGTCCCAGAGGACCTAAGGCACCTGCTAAAGGTTACTGTGAAGCTGGGCAGAGCTATGCATAATTATTTCCCTTTAAACATGGATTGCTTTGGAACACAAAGATTAATTTGTTTTCTTCAAGAGATAATGTGTAAACCCAAGCTCATTAAATCAGTATTGGATATTAAGTGGAATTCTATAAAAAGAAAAATGCTTTAAAGATGTCCGACAAAAACCACTTCCTAATTTACCTCTTTTGTAAATTCCAATTTGAGGTATTTTCTTACTTGGAAGTACAGTGGTAATTGCATCTCACTCCTCACGTTAGTGTGGGTAGGAAAGACAGTGCATTCTCCACTGAGTATGTTTGGCCTATCAGGCAGAGGTGTATGGGACACAGAAGTTGTATTCTTCATTCCCTTGCTCCCTCTTTCTCCTTCACATGTCACGCCTGATCATGTCCCCGTGGAATCTGGTTGCGTCACTTTCCTTGCAACCACAGCCCCACAACTCCTATAGATTTTGTACTCCCCCAGAGGCCAAGGATCAAGGACTTAATTTGTTTCACAGAATCCAGCAAGGACCCTGTTCAGGAGCCCAAGAAGTCTGGCTTCTACTTTCTGCCAGGGACGAAACTGAGGCCCAAAGAGGAGCCCTTGAAGATACCCTATAATAAAAGACGGAGGGGCTAATGGCAGAAACAGTTTTCTCACCAGGTAGTGATGTGGCAATGGATTGACACCTGGGAGAGCAGAGGGTCTGGGTGGTCCCTCCCTGGGGGGAAAGAGCCCTGTGTGCCACCTATCTCTTCAGAAGTGACTCCAGGAAAGTGGCCTCTTATATGGGGGAGGGGAGAGTGTCAACAGAAAGTCAGTCAGAACCCCCCAGACTCTAGCTGGGCAAACGGTGCTTGGGCGGGTGGGGGAGGCAAGGTGATCAGGTTCTCCAGAAAGGCTGGGGCAGAACAAGACAAAGGGCAGGTGGACTTGGGTGGCATTGGTGGCCTAGCCCTTAAAGGTTCAGGTGGAGAGTTCATTATCTGCTCTAGTTCCACCTCCTGAGAAGTTGTGTCCTCCCTGGCTTCCCTGCCTCTCCAAGGGTAAAAGGGGTATAGTTTCTGGCTCCTAAAGGAACAACCCTTCCCCTAAGCGGCCTTCCCAGGATTAAAAGTAAGAGAAATTAATGAGGACCTGAAATGTGGCTACTTCAACACTTGGCATCTTAATTCCGCATGGTAAAAGCTTTCTCCTGAAGTCAAGATCAATTTCCATTGGCTCTTTAGAAAACAATATCAGCCGTACCTTCAACAAGTCAGGCAAACTATCCCTTTTTCTACTCTCTGCTAGGAAAGGAAAACTGATAATTTCCTCTCCACTAGGAGAAGAAAACAAACCCGCAGCCCCCGAAGAATGAGAGAAAGTCAGGAAGACAGAAAAAGCTGCCCAGTGAGGCTCCATATGTTAACTTTGTTGAAACTGGTTGCCTCATCTGTAAAATGGGGATATATAATCTCTTTAGGCTGTTGAGAGATTAAAGGATAAAGTGTCCAGCAGGGCGCTTGGTAGAGTCAGCATTGAGGACCAGTTCCCTTCCCCCTTCCCCCAGTCCAGACACCTCCCACCACTCTACCAGGGTCCAGTCATTCCACGAAACCACATGGTACACTGCTTTTCTGCCCAGGGCCTGGCCACCTGACTAGTATCCCGGCAGCAAGATCTGGGCACTGGACCTAGTTTAGGGAAGCCAGAAGGGAAAAGTCGACAAGGACCACTGGTGAGGGGGAGGCAGCCTTTTTGGAACAACAGGCTGCTCCCAAAGAATGAAAACAAGCCCCACCCTAGTCTGGAATGGCTCCATTCAGAAGGGACCTAGAGGGCCAGAAACCCCCTGGGGAGTTTCTATGGGAGGTGGAGTGGGGCAATGAGCAAAGAAAGCCAGGTTGGAGGTAGAGTTTCCACATCTCCCTTTGAGAAGCCCCAGAGAGAGGCTCGTGGAGGTACTCAGGCCTAGGGACTGAGGAGGTGTGGGGGCTGGCCCAGCAGCTCAGGAACACTCCAAAGTCCATTGCTCCAGTCTCAGAAGCACTGGCCCAGGTCTTTCCCCAGCAACTACATTCACCTGGGAGCTCAGAAGCCCCTCAAGGTCAGAGGCTAATGTGCCTGCCATTAAGAGAACAAATGTTTATAAGGTACCTATTGTGTACCAGGCTACCCACACCCAGGACTTGCCAGTTTCCACAGTTTGGCAAAACCTGCCCATCCTGCTTGTTGGGACAAATTTCTGGGCAGGCAGCATGGCCCGCAGGTAAGACATGTGAGAGCTAGAAACAGCACTCTATTTGTGCTATTCCCCCTGGAAGCAGTAACACCTAGAAGGGGCAGGTCAGTGGCATCTTTTGGAGGCTCTTTCAGGTTTGCCTGGGATGGAAGGGGAGCTGGAGCTCCCTAAGAAGTTCCTTCTGAGTATATCCCTCCCCTCACCACTTCCAGGACATAATGGGGGTACCTCACAAGGCCGATTCTGCTTAGGTATAACCTCTCCTGGCTTCTGCCCGGCAGGACCGATGGTAAAGGACTAAGTGAGAAGGAGATTTCGGGAGACCACCCTCTTCTCAGGACCAGGGGCCAGGAGAGAGAGAGAGGGGAACTCGGAGACCAACTCACCGAAATGGGTCTCTGGAGGTGAAGTAAGCCGGGACTGACAAGTAACTCCCCATCTTCTTCCCACACCAGATAAACAGGCTCAGCTGCAAATCCGTCTATGAGTGCCTCAGGCCGGCTGTAGATGGCCACCATGACAGGCCCAGGGCTCCCAACACCTCTGGCTGCAGGCAGGCTGCCCTGAGTTCACCTCTCCCTCCGGAGCAGCTGGAGGAGCCTGAGGACTCCAGGCCACTTGCCCCCCAGCAGATTCCCACAGGGGCTCATGGCTGGGATGGCTCCTCCCTAGTTCTTAGAAGCTCAGGCGGCCCCTCTGGACTCGGAGAAAACGACCTCTTTGCCGAGGCTACATACACACTGGCATTCTTGAGCAAGGGCCGGTGACTAGCTAAGAAAGAAGCGCTGCTGTCAAGTTAGCCTTCTTCTTCAGTCCCACCCCTGAATGAGGGAGGGAGGGAGGAAGAGGAGGAGCTCCCGCAGAACCGAGGTGTGTGGTTGGAGCAGCTGTTAGGAAACAGACCTTGCAGGCAAGGGGTGGAGCTGGGCTGGATCGAGGCTGCAGGCAGGCGCTGCAGACAATAACTGGGACCGACTGAGCGTCCATCCTGAGCTCAGGGAAGGGCAAGGCAGGATACAGGGTGAACATATCTGGCCCCAGATGTCCTCAAGCAGAGGAGCTGCCTACAGGACAGTAATTCTGCTTGGAGGTGAAAAAAAAAAAAAAAAAAAAAAAAAAAAAGCAGAGGATGCCAGGTCCAGGAAGAGCTACACCAGACAGAGGGACCTCCGGTAGGAGAGGCAGGTCCAGAGAGCCATCCTAGCTCCGAGCTGACATCTGTTCTGTCCTGGCACTAGGGCTCCCATTCATTCCCTCCCTCTGCCTGGCCTGGGGACAGCCTCAAGAGCTGACCAATGGGAGGTGACACTTCCACTCCAGGGCAGGGCTGTGTTGCAAATAAGAAAATGAGGCCCAGGGTATTAACCTACACCTGATGTGTCTCCATGTGGTAAACACTATATGCACTCTTATTTCTCTGAGACAGGAATTATTCCCACTCTACAGACAAGGAAAGTGAGATACAGAGAAATTACGTAACTCACTCAAGGTCAAAAAGGGAGTCAGTGGCAGGGTTGGGATTTAAATGTAGGCCCATGTGAGTTAGAGTAGGCCCCTAGAGCTGGAGTTCTCCCACTACCAGGCTTCATTCTGGCTCTTCAAGGAGAAAAATCTTTTCCAAAGCCCTCTGCAAATAGGATGGAGCCCAGGTTACTCTCATTCACTCACTATTCACTGGCTGTTCACACACAGAACACCATCCACTGGCCTCTGTGGACAGTAGAACTTCTTCTACTTGTCCAATGATAACCATGCTTTTCAAACTGAAAAATGGGGCGTGAGGGAGAAGAAGGCCTGGGGTGCCAAAAGGGATTGATAAGCCTAAGTATCTGGAATGGGAGCCCGCCTGAAGAGCCCCAGTTGTGATGATGACCAAAGCAGAGCTTACCACGGAGAAAGCCCTTGTCTCCCTGCCTGCAGAATTGTAAAGGAAAAAGCAAGGCTGCTGGAGAAAATCAGAATACTAGGACCTCACTATTGGATTTGGGGCAGTGACATCAGCTCTCCCTCACCAGGCACACACCTCTCACCATTGTAAAGGGCCAGAAGTCACCTTGCAGCTACTATGTCTTACTGTGAACCATGGCAGCAAAGTCTGATAAAGATGGTAGATGGGGTTACAAAGGAGCCTTTTCTCATTCCACCAATGGGGCACAGGGACAACAATGCATGAGATAAGAGCACATGGGTTTGAATACTGATAATAAGCTACCATTTATTGAGCAGTTAATATGTTCTAGGCCCTGTGTTAAGTGCTTAGCATCTATTATCCATATTTAAATTGCCAGTATATGGGGTAAATGTCATCAGCCTCATTCAACAGATTAGGAAATAGGTTCTGAGGGGTTATGTCACTATCCTCAAGACAAATAGCTAGTAAGTGGTGAGGGTGGGTTTTTTTTTTTTTTGAGTCAGGGTCTCTCTCTGTCACTCAGGCTGGAGTGCAGTGGTGCCATCATGGCTCACTACAATCTCAACCTTGACCTTCTGGACTCAAGTGATCCTCTCACCTCAGCCTCCAGAGTAGCTGGGACGACAGATGCATGCCATCACGCCCAGCTGCGAGGCTGGGTTTCAAACCTGGTACATATGTATGGCTCTAGAGCACAGGTCAAGGCACTTTTCCTGTAAAGGGCCAGAGAGCTAATATCTTAGGCTCTGCAGGCCATACAGACTCTGTTGTGACTACCCAATTGTGTCATTACAGAGCAATAGCAGCCATATATAAAACATAAACTAAGGGACATGGTTGTGTTCCAGTAGATATTTACTCATGGAAAGATTTTTTTTTTTTTTTGAGATTCAGTCTCACACTGTTGTCCTGGCTAAAGTGCAGTGGTACAAACATGGTTCACGGTAGCCTCAACCACCTGGGCTCAAGTGATCCTCCTGCCTAAGCCTCCCGTGCATCTGGGACCACAGGTGCAGGCCACCATACCTGGCTTTTTTTTTTTTTTTTTTTTTTTTTTTTTTTT